AGCGAAGACCTACTCATATCGAAAAATTGTGTTTTAGTATGAGAAAATGATTCTTTTTGCCCTCTCTAGTGTGTGTATGCTATTTCATAGGCAAAAAATTTCAATCTTAGTGAGATTATTGCAAATTGAGAGATTTTACATAAAGTATACTTTAATTTTAGATGAAATATCAAAGAAAATTTTGTTATAATTGAGATTTAATTTTTCACCTTCATGTTTGTTGCACTATAGGCATTGCGTTCGCCTTGTTTATGGAGTTTAGAAATTATTTAAAGGAAACACGTGTAAAATAACCAAGAAAGATGAAGAGGTTTTCAAAAAGAGTTTGTGTCATTTAATCATTGGATCATATAATAAAACAATTATTGCTGTTTTTGAGGTCAAAAGAATGATTTCCTTTTGTGAAGAGTTCATTAAAAAATTATTTTACTGATACGAGTGTAATACATGTAGTATGAAAATATTAACAAAGGTGACTTCAACATTTTGAGGAAATACGCAACGTTGCAAGATAATGATTATAATAAAACTGAAGTGTTTTATAAATCTTATTTTCCCTCTTTTAAAGCAACACTATAAATCTTTAATAAATAATAGATTTTCAGATTTTTAAGGTAAAAAAAAAAGACAACATAGCATGCATCAATAAACCCCTCATCCCACCCGAACCACACACTATAGTATCAATATTCATGTCCAAAATATTATTCCATGGTAATGTATATTAACAATTTCCCCCTGCCTCCCTCCCCCTCCCCCACTTCCCAAAAAAGGATTTTCGTGTTTGGGATCTGAAAATTAAAAAAAAACAAACCTTTTTCTGCTTGTCAAAGAATTTTCAGATTATCTGTCAATTTTTTTTCTGTCTACCCCCTTTCAAAAACAATGCTACGTGCCCGCACGACAGTCTATTTTTTCATTTATTGTGGGTCCATGTTACTCCATGTTTTTGTACACCGAAAATTGCAAAATTGAACGCATACTTTGAAAACATGTTTCAAAAATATGGAGAGAAGACCCACTCGCATAGAAAAATTGTGTTATAATATGAAGAAATGATTATTTTAGCCCTAAGATTTTTTCATGAAGTAAACAAATTCAGGTTATATGTAGCATATGGATGTATATGAAAAAAATCTAAATACTATTTAATTTGTTTATTTCTGCTAACGTATACATTTGAAATTCTTGAAATTATTTTTCCCTAAAGATCGGTTTAAAAACATACAGTCTGACATAGACTTCGAAGTTCTTTTTTCCTTTTTTTTTTTTTTTTTTTTTTTTTTTTTTTTTTTTTTGTTAATTACTCTATTTCATATTTGAGCCATTTGACTTGCATGAATTTTGTCAATCTTTCAAAATGAAAATAAATGGGATATATTTATCGTCAGCTTAAGAATTTTGGTACACAAATGTGGGTTCTCTATTTCGAATTTTTTTTTCTTCCGAATTAATCATTGTCCTTAACAATAGTTTTATTTGTGAGCGTTCGCAAAGAACCTTGTGAACAACGAACAAATTACATAACAATTAAAATGATCAGCTGTTGATAAAAGATCCAAAATAAGTTGTCGTTTAAAAAAAATTTATCGATTTTGATCTACAGGTTACAAAGAAACCACAAAAGAAAGTACAAAATGGTAATTGGCTTGAAAAAAAATTGAAGGTTGCTTTCTTCAAGTTTGTTTCGTGTAAAATATGTATTTGATACTAATGCATGAAAATGTTATATTTCATAGTTTACTTTCTGTGTTAGCTAACGGAAGGTTTACTTTAGATTGGAAGAAAAATCAATGAAATTTGGGAAATACGGATGTTGAGCAAGGAATGTGAACTTCCTGTGACCTTTGATATCGCTTTGAACCATTTATAATTTTGATCACATATATTTAACAGGTTGTGAACTAGTATTCCATTGTTCTTGGTTTCAGCGCATAGGAGCCCAAAAAAACCCTTAATTTACTTTTTTTCTTTCGTAAGAACATTTTTTTTAATTTTTAAACTATTAAACAAAATTTTGAAATACAACCAAAGATTGGCGAGTGAGGCGATACAAAAAAGGCTCGACAAATAGAAAAGTGAAAAATAACGTCTGTGATATTTCAGTTAACAGTATTATTGCTTTAAAAACAAGATGTGTTTGTGAAACACTGATGCCCCCGTATGGCAGCTCATGACTAATTACATAAGGTTTAAGTTTCTCACATTCAAGTCAAGCTCCATGGTCAAAGTCGAGAGATAAAAATATGTTGGTACCCAAAAGTAAGGTCTTGTCAAAACGAATACACCTTTTATATATGAAAGCCCTGGCAGCAACCATTCAGAAATTATGGTCAAGGTTAAAGTTTCTCAAAAGTAGGTCAAACTCCAAGGTTAACATCATGAGGTAAATAATATTGATACTTAAATAAATATAACAGCCAAAGCACCATCCGTTCAAAAGTTATGGCCAAGTTTAAAAGTAGACAAACTCCAAGGAAAGAGTTGGTACCTAAGAAAAAATCTGGCCGCAAGGAATAAACATGTGAAATATAAAAGCCCTAGTTTTAACCATTAAAAACTTATGGCAAAAGTTAAAGTTTTTCAAAAGTAAGTCAAATTCCAAGATTAAGGCAAAAAAATATTCCTACCCAAGGTAAAGTCTCGTCAGAAAGAAAACACATGTGAATCCTGAAAGCCCTAGCACCAAGAGTTCAAAATTATGGCCAAAGTTAAAGTTTAGTAAAATTTTGCAAAAACTCCAAGGTCAAGAGGTGAAATATGTTGGTATCCAAAAGAAAGGATGACAAGAAATACACATTTGAAATAAGAAAGCCCTACCTCTAACCAATCAAAAGTTATCGCCAAGGTTAAAGTTTTTGCAGACAAATAGACACACAGAGAGAAAACTATATATATCTATTGCGCACAAAAAAAAATGCGCTTGATTCCGGTTTCATTTCTCCAAATTCTTACCTCAACTGCACAAAAACTCGATTTCAAGAAATTTCTTAGTACTCTATCAACTACTCTCGTAGTTTACATCTGCAAGCCAAAATGGCTGTATAAATCGGCGAAATTTTCGATGGTCTTCATTTCAGGTCCAGTAGGACTATAACCAATGGTTCTGAGGAATGTTCTGTTGTGGAGATAGTAAAGGATTACGTTAGGAACAGCCGGTAAGTAATATTTTGAGATGGCAGTTAATAAATCCAGAATTGAGGGCATTTTTGTGCGCAATAAATATGCAATTTTTTTATTGGTAGCACTGTAGCTCTCTGGTCTGCGCATGTCTATTTTTTTCGAAGAGCTACAGATCTGCAGCTACTAACCTTCCAGTTAGTCCCACAGATTTTCGATTGGAGAAAAAGATGGAATTTACGGAGACCAGCTGATTTGTTAAATGTAAATGTTTGCGAAAAAGTCTTGACAAACTCTTGCTACATTTTCCCGGGGGTAAACATGCTGAAAAATTAGACATACGACGCACACGTGCGCGACTGACGTAAAGTTGACGAGCTCACGGACCAAAATAGAGCAATCGGTTTCTTTCAGTTTTAGGGTAAATGTAACGACTATGATTGCCTACTGTATTAATATCGGTTTCAGTGGTAATGCCGTGGCGATTACAGAAGTGGTAAGATGAAAAGCCCTTTATTGATATGGCGTTGTTACGCGTCAACATCATCGTCGCGGTTGGTTGAAAACCACTTCAGTTCCTCTTTGACAACAGATGAATGTTATATGGTGGAAAGATTAATAGCAAACTGCACAGCAATATGTTGTTGTCCTTTTCTTTACTTAGGCAATTAAATTACTAGACCCAGTGGAACTTCCTTCAGCCGTACCATGATTGCAAGAAATTCATATTGACTGCAAATAGGAAAAACAATGTGTATACCTCAGTGCGTCAAGTGGTACTACAAAATGTGTTAACAAACTTAACATCTTTGGCTTTTTCCACTCTCCCTACGTGACGTCATGCATTTCACGGTTGAGTAATTTTGAACACCGATTTTAGTACACAGTAACAAGGATTTTTTACTTTGAAAATATTTACGATGCAATATCGGTCAGTGGCAAGACTTGCATGTAGGATTTATCCAATATTTGAATATTAATTGGAGTAAATGTCCTACTCATCAGAATCTATGTGATATATCCAATGCTTAACAATGAATGGGAGAAAATGTCCCACTTATCAGTATATATCCATGAGATTTATCCTTTTTGGACAAATTTCTGGGAGAAAATATCCCAATGAGAGAAAAAAAAATCCCATCTGATACTTTTTCTCCCGTGGAAGAAAGGTGGGATAGTTGTTAGGACTAAAAATCCCACCATTCTCCCATGGAATTCTGACATTTAGGACTTAATATTTTTGAAAATAGAGATGTTTGTCAGTTCAACATCAGAGCATATGATACTGCTAAAAAATCCCAAGTACTATAAATTTTTTTTGAACATCACAATTAGAAATGATAGTAAAAAGTCCGGGCTATATGTTGTGTCCAGAGTTAAATGTCGCACTGTTAATTTTTCCAAGTTTTAATATTTTTAACCGTAAATGTCAACTTTCAATCGCCGAAAGATAGTTAATTCGAGGTTAAACCCTAAATATCAGTCAATCAATCAACTTTCAAGATACGAAAATGAGTAATTTAAGTTAGAACACATCGATGATCATTTATTTCCCTGAAAAATAAAAGATGTACATGTAAAGTCGCAATATTCAAAACTATATTAAAGTACATTTGCACTTTACAGTGGTATACAGTTCACTTTAATCGGGAATGAATGAAGCGTGTATTGAAATCAGCGTTATATTGATCCAATTTCGTCGATCATTGTTAAATAGTTGCAATTACATACATCAAGAAATCAGGGGAAGTGTACATACAATTAAATGCATTCTATAGCTTAATTATCGTCTTTTAAAATGCTGTGAAAAGGAATTATTTCTTTCTTTGAAATTTCGAACAATGAGAACTACAAAGATAAAATCCAGATTGACGCACATTTATGTAAAATAACCAGGCAAACTAATCTTTTTAATGCACGAAAAAAAAATATTAAAGGAACAAAGAAAGTTCTGACAAGAATATATAAAGTATATAAAAGATAGAAATATGTAACAGACATTATAAAAATCGTTTGATGATATGTAAACAGTGATTGTCATAAAGAAAATACAGCTATTGATTAAAAATTGATACAATCTATGCATGGCAAATAATTGAAAGTGTTAACAACTTCGATAATCCGTGGCGCGGCACGGAGAATTGTGAGAAAAGATAAACTGCTCAGATTAATGGCAGACTTGCGTATATATGGATAAAGTGGGTGCAGCGCTCTATAGTTAATCGGATTCTTCTTCGGACTTTTCCCACGTGGCATTGGTGACCAGTTTCCGAACACCATTAAGGTCTGTTGATCTCAGAAATTTGTCAATTGCCCTGATACCCTGCCGACAAATTTCCAGAGGGGGGTATGTTAGGGGATTCCCGTCCAATACCGATGATGTGTATCTCTCATCCCAGTCCAGGTTTTTCAGATTTCCAAAGTTCTGTGGCAGACGACTTACATTATTATTCCCTATCCATAGACAGTAGAGTTCTGTCATGTCACAGATACTGTCAGGGAGAACAGACAAATTGTTCAAAAACAATAACAAAGTATGGAGGTTTTTCAAATTTGAAATACTCACAGGAAGCATGGAGAGTTTGTTATCACTCATGTCTAAAAATTCCAAATTTTCCAGCTGACATAAATCCAAGGGAAAATCTACGAACTTGTTATTCGCCATATGAAGACTTCTTAAATTCTTTAAGTTGTCAAATCCTGCCGGAAGATGGTCCAACATATTGTTACTGAGAGCCATACTTTCAAGGTTCACCAACTGACATACCTCCTCCGGAAGTTCCGTCAATTCGTTGGTGTCCAAGATCAGAACATTAAGATTGGTCAGCTTTGAGATCCCTCGAGGGACCGCCAAAACTTTGAAATTAAGACACGATTGCCTCTCTGGGCTTAGATCAAGAATTTCCAGCTCATGAAGTTGAAAAATTACATTCGGAATATCACCCAATTCCCGTCCGGTCAGTTTCAGCTTTTTCTTTCCTTTAAAGAGTGGATCTTCTGTCTCAATTCGAAGTCTGAATGATTTTACGTCCGAAGTAGTACGAGGGGTGTATAAGTAATATGCCATCGCACTGATTCTCAATCAGAGATTGCAAATGTTGGCGATTAATAGGAAGCTTTTATTAAAGTTCAAAAAGGGTAATTTCCGGACAAACAAACAGTTACGTCACTGTTGAAGTAAATGACATTCTTATCCCTGCCTTAAATACTTAACTGTATCCAATTTTCGTCAAGGCCGCGATCTTTAAAATCCTTTTTTAAAGATCCGACAGTATGATTAGCAGTAGAAAAAAATCTCTTGAGCTTGTAGTCTATATTTCAGATACAGGTACCTATATGGAAGAAGAAACAAAAATTCAGACACATACTCTACACAAGAGCATAACATTGTTCTGTCATAAATCTTAAGCACAAAGACATTCTTTTTCATCTCTATCATTTATAACTTGATTTGTCTCGTTGCTAGAATCGCGGTAAAGGATTCTTAGATACAAAACCTTCCACACCGAAAACAGGCCAAAAAAAATGAATTGCAATAAATTGCTATAATAAAGTATACCTGTGTTATAAAGACCTCTATAAATCGTCCCGACACTAACTTGATTGTTTTTTAAATGCTGCTATTGCTAACGTGCTTTCACAGTTTTGTTGATTCTATCGACATCAAATCAAACGAAACTCTTGAACTGTCCGTTCTACTCTGGAGCCAACATACCTTGATCACCAGAACCAGAAGCCCCCTAAACAATCAGTCCAGCGTCTCAAAACCCGAAGCTCGGAATAAAACTTTGTCGGAGTCAATATTGGCACTTTTGATCAACTTACCAAGATAAAAATGGAAATTAGCTTTCAATTTGGACCTCAGTCCGTTCTTTCCCTGAATTCGCACAAAAAGAATACCAGTTTACCTGCTACTGACTTGGAAACTGGGCAAAGCATGGATACAATTATATTTTAAAAGTTTACCTGTAATTTTTCACGTGCTGTAATCCAACAGTGCAAGTGGCAGGTGAAGTGAAAGAAAAAAGGTACTAGATACAAAAATATCCTGGCTGATCGATTTTAATTACAATTGAAATTGCGCCCCCGATTATGTCGAATTTATCATTGTAAGGAACAAAGACGCTCACAATTTTTGAGTATACATTTCTCCTTAATTCCACATTTATATGTTGATCTTTCGCAAATAAAAGCACATGTTTGGCATTCATGAACTAAAAGGTTTCCTAAACTGCGACTGTCAAAAAATACCTTGCTTGGTCTGTTCGCTAGAATATCGCCATGACAATTTGTTGAAGAGACAATCAATGCATGATGTGGAATTTTTTTTAATGGTCCTTGTTCTTGCGTTAATGTGTTGCACCCATGAATAATTCATTGATACTCTCACTCTTCTTTACTCAATTGGACTTTAAAATCAATAGTTTTAATTCTTGATAAACGATCGCATCTATTGTCTAGATGTCATGTAATTTATGGTTTAATTTGCTAATGTAACATTTAAAAGTCTATAAAATTGTTCTGTCTGTTTATTTCGTTATGATTCGAACGGATATACCTGATCTAAAGCTGATCTAGCCCCCTAAAACAGAACGCTTTTGTTAAACTTCATTTTAAACTTATCGATAATATAGTAGAGTTGATATTTCAAAATATTCTCACTACCAAAGGAGTGCAAGACAAACATTTGGCATGATTAAATTGACTTGAAAATCGTTATAACAAAGCTTCTAAATCTTAAAATAATAAATTGCAAATAAACCATATATGTTTCAGCAAATAAAATTGAATAAATAGTGAGCTTACACACATGGACATTAACTACTTTATTAATGTTATATTCTTTTTCATATTTCGGAAAAACATTAATGTATTCCCTCTAATTAATCATGATTTTCTTTTCTTAAGTGTCCATCGACCTAAGAATCAAACACATGTATCTTTACGTACATGTATTCCGAATCGCCGAGAATCGAGTAAAATTTTGTTAAGCTAAACATTATATTTTTATTAATTTCAATTAATTTAATTTAATTTCAATTAATACTTTCTCAACTATTTTAACTGCCTACATGCATAAACATACATGCATTTTAAAGTCATACAGAGGTATATTTAACGACCACGCCCACTATTTGCTCACTCAGATGAGGAGAAAGACGAGCCATACTATATGATCAATAATTTTAAATCAACAATGAATATGTACACAAATCATTAAACGACGTTTGAAGACCTGTTGTAGCAAACATCTTCAAATTTTATTACTTACTTTCACTGTTGAAATACTTGTAAGGCGCAGTTTGTATACTGACCAAAAACGGGTTTTTATGGACAAAGTATAATTATATATTCCCAAATAACAGAGCAAAGACAGGCAACAGCACGGAGACAGCAAGGAACATCAGAGCTAGTTACGCTAATTATCTTCGTTAGGACCAAAATTTCAACAGCAGTGGACAATATAAGCCAGTAAACAAATATTTTATAATCGTAACTGTTTTCAATCAAAATTTTAACTGCTATTATTTGGAATATCTATTTAGCTTACTTACAAACGAGATCTTTTATGGTTGGCATAGCTAATCATGCATAGAAGCAATTGTTTACTCATGAATATTTTATGAAAGTAAATTACATTTGGTCGTTTGAAATGGATCGAAACAAGTAACGTTGCTTCTTTGATGCCACGCAAGAGTAGATAAATGGCTACAGCAACTGTTTCTTCAAAATATCAACAAAAAGCGATTTTGTAAGTCAAGCACCTTTCGGATGGAATTGGTCAAACTATAGGTTACAGTTGTAGACATGTCACATTCATTCATGAATAATCTTTTAGAATAACATATAGCAATTTAAGGTATTTATTTGGGGAGGGGGGGGCAGGAGGGGTATATTTCTATAAATGATGACGTTGAAGGCAAATCCAATATGGTGAAGATTTATGAAGTAGGAGAAGAAGCGTTCAGTGTATATACTACAGGATTGCCAGGAACAGTTGACAGATTGTTACAGGTAAGGTTAAGCAGAGAACTAGCTGTGATATAAAATCAGTCCCACAGTGTCAAGTGCACCGTAGCATTTTGAAAATATTAAATATTCTTCTGAACAAGGTATATTAATACTTACAGGATTGCTTTACTCTCCATTTCCCTCTTCATGCACGAGCTATGTATGACTTCCCAATTAGACCTCCATTCGTGTAAACTATATCTGTGCCTTTTTCAACTAAGTTTTTTTAAACTGTCTTATTGGTTTCATGTATGAAAGTTCCAATACGTAAATGAACATCACATTTAATCAACATGGGTGATTATGACGGGCACCAAATACATGTACTCTGTATTATTTCAGAAAAGCTGACAATCTTATCAAACATTGCTCGGCAGGGGAATATGCTTTTGGCAATCTGAATTGGTATTTTCACACTTCTTACTTTCCTTATCAAAACTTACATCCATAAAATGAATTTTACCTTTGTATATTAAAAAGGATCAATATTGATAAAATGTTTACATAGAGATTAATGAACTCCATTTGCAGGTGCACTTAAATCGAATTCAAATATAAGAAAAGATTTAATAATCTGTCAAAGATATATGCTCCATAGTAAAACATTTTTCCTACTCCAAACGTGGCAAACACTTTTCGTATTGATTTTACCAAATGCTTCTCTGATATATTTCTTTGTAAAATAAATTTTAACAAAATACATGAAGAAAAATAAAATAGGCATTGTAGCTATATGAAATATCTGTGTGTCAATTTTTAAATGTATGAATGACTTATGTATATGATACATGTATATGCTCGTTATTATTTAGTTTCTTTAAAGTATTGTGTTATAAATTACCTGAATGCTAAAGAAATCACAAGTTTTTCTGACCAGTGATTTAACGATGTCTTTTTCCAAATAACATTTAAAACCTTAACGCAGTAGTTCTAAGCCCCTATCTTTATTCCTCATTACAAAAATATTAACTGCTGTAAAGGAGAAACTTCAGACGTACTAGTGCTACAGCGTATTCTAGAAGCGGAATAAATCAGATGTGAATTCTTATAAACTCCAAAGAACTTTAAGATATTTAAAATTGGCAAATTTTTCAAAAGTCAGTAACATAAAAATTTACGACTTTTCTACAGCCATTCCTCACGATAAATTAAAAACTAGGCTTCTTGATATCATGGACAAGTGCTTCTTAAAAAAATGGAAGTCGGAAATTTTCGTATCTTGTGATTGGTCATCAACGAAATTACTTTGATAAAAATCACTCTTATTCTACACACAAGTAATCTGAAGTTGATATGTAAGGATGCTAGAGTTTCTCATGGACAGCATTTATGTAGTCTTCGGAGACCAGATCTTCCAACAATATGTTGGAAATATGATGGGCACTAATTGTGCTCCTTTATTAGTTGACCTGTTTTTATACTCCGAAGAAGCAGAATTTATTCAAAAACTCCGACATGAAAGGAAGAAAACACATGCTATGGCCTTCAACTCGACATTTAGATATATATACGATGTATTTTCAATTAACAATAGTTTCTTCCATTCATATGTTGTCTCGATGTATCCCATTAAACTTCAAGTAAAAGACACCACAGAGTCTGACACATCTTATTTATATTTAGACATTTTACTTTTAAAAGACTTTAATGGAAAAATAACAACAAAACTTTATCATAAACGTGATGACTTCAACTTTTCTTTTGTTTACTTACCTTATTTAAGCAGCAATATACCATTATCAACTGCAGTTGGAGTTTATGTCTCCCAGTTGATTCGATACACAAGAGCATGTTCTATGTACGAGGACTTTCTTAAACGAGGAAAACTACTGGCAAATAAGTTGATTTCGCCAATTCTATGTTCGATACAATGACCTTTTTAGCAAATGCAGTCAGTCGTTTAGTCGAATGTTGACCGACTTTTTTCATACAAATTGTCAGGCAATAATTTTTACACTGAATGGTGTACAGATTTTCCTGTTTGCCCGATCATGACAAAGAGCACATATGGGATGTTTACTTCTCCATGGCACCTGATTCCACCTCTGATGTTTTCAGTGGTCACCATTTGCTATGCATTTGCTCTGCTTCCAATTTTTATTGTTCCGATGGACTTTTAAGCTCGATTACCGTTCGTTATCTTCGTATTTCATAGAACAGAAATACCATATTTGTGAAGATATTTACACAATACTTCTGCTAAAGAAAAAGAAAACGTTACGCCAGATATCTGAACACGAATGCAATGTACAGTTGTAATAATTCTAAAATATCTTAATATTTTTTTCTCTTTTTTTAAAATGTACTTACTGTGCTTAGTGTGCTTGATAAAAATTTGAATGAACTGGAAAGCTCGCAATCTTTTAGACGACTTAGGCCACCCCGCTTAATAATAATAATTATTATGACCCCACTTGAAAAGCGAGGGTGTTTAATGATTGGTGTGTCCATCCGTCCGTCAGTCCGTCTGTCTGTTCGTCAGTCCCTCCGTCTATCTGTTACGCTTTAGGGTACACATCTCTTATAAGCAATTCCTCTTTTACCACTGAATAAAATTTAATAATACCTCACAGAATCTTTGTTAGATAGTGTCATTGTGCACTTCCTATTTTACTTTTTGATCGGACACATATTTCGGGTTTCCAGTAGCAAAACATATACACTGTCATTTTTTAATAATATCGAGGGGTACCCATCTCTTATTTGCAACTCCTCCTATACCACTGGATAAAATTTAATGATAGATGTAATTTCACAGAACCTTTGTTACATAATGCCATTGTGCACCTCCTATTATACTTTTTGATCGGACACATATTTCGAGTTTCCAGTAGCACAACATAGAACACTGCCATTCTTTATATAATATTGATTGGTACCCATCTCTTATCCGCAACTCCTCCTATACCATTGAATAAGATTTAATGATACTTTCACAGAATCTTTTTTTACATAGTGCCATTGTGCACCCCTATTTTACTTTTGATCAGACACTTATTTCGGATCTCTTATAGCAAAACATGGTCTTTGCCATTATAAACATATTGGGGGCGAGGGGTATCTTTTTGTGAGCTCGTGCTCACAGTTCCTCTTGTTTCAATTCAAGTTCAGTTCTTTATTGCGCTCGAGTTTTGTAACTCATCAGGATATGAAATTTATGTTCACGCATATACATGGCGATAAAATAATGGGTGGGTGGACATAAAAAAAAAGAAATGATAAGTTATGACAAGGTAATGATAGACATTCAGAATT